AAACAGTGCTGGTTCCATCCCCAAGCACCACAAAATAAAAACAATAAAAAACCCCAAATGTTCACACACATACACACACACACACACACACACACACACGCACGCACGCACGCACGCACGCACGCACGCACGCACGCACGCACGCACACAAATATGCTTCTTCAAATATACTCTAAGATAATTCAGATGTAGCCAGGCTGTGGTGGCACATGTCTTTAATTCCAGCACTAGGGAGGCAGAAGCAGGCAGATCTCTGTGAGTTCAAGGCCAGCCTGGTCTACAAATCTAGTTCCAGGACAGCCAGGGCTACATAAAGTAACCCTGTCTCAAAACACAAAAACAAAACAAAAAGATAATTCAGATGTAACTGTGCATTACTCCTGAATGGAGTGGTAATGCATGCCTTTAATCCCAGCACTCAGGAGGTAGAGGCAGGTGAATCTCTGTTGAGTTTGAAGTCATCCTGGTCTAAGAGTGAGTTCCAGGGCAGGCTCCAAAACTACACAGAGAAACCCTGTCTCAAAAAATTGAAAATCCTATTTCAAGGGGGAAAGTGAGATTTTTAGAATCTAAATGAGAAAATATATTGACTTCTAGCTTAAGTATTAACATACCTTTGACCCATGCAATCACTTGCTTTTGATAGCTTTCTGTGGCTTAATAAAAAAGAACTCCAAGCAATCTACCTGACCCTAACACTTTTTTATTCCTGAGTCGGGAGTGCTTTGAAAATTCACAGGATAGCATGGATGTGACTCAGTGGCAGAGTGCTTGGCCACATGTTCAAGGCTTAGGTTTCGAACCCCAATCCTGCCAAACAAAACGAAACACAATATACCCAATAGTAAGGGGAAGTGTGTTCATGGAAAGCACCAGAAAAACCTAAAAGACATTTTTTAACTACCCTCCCTCCAATCCCAGAACATGTAAGCTCTTTCTCCACTGTGATTGCCCTGTTTGTTGATTTTTGAGGTAAAAGTATCAAATAGCCCAGACTGGCCTTGAGCTTGATTTGTAGAGAGCGGCCTTAAACTCCTAATTGTCCTGCCTCTGGGATTAATGTGCCATTACATTCAACTGTGTTTGCTTTTGTAAGTACAAACTGATGGCCATCTGTGTCCAGCCTAAAAAATGCCTTGGCTACATATTCATCTTTGACCTGAGTCAAAGTTAAAGTTTCCTTTAAGGACAAAGGAAACTTCTGAGGCCAGGGAGCTGCTATGAGGTTGAAATACTCTGCAAGTAACTGCTAGGAGTTAAGTAGCGCACACAAGCCTAGTCCTTTGACTGGTGGGGAGAGGGACCCACCACGATGACCATGACACACAGGACCAGCAGGTGACCTCATCACTCTGCATGTGCATGCCCACTTAGGGTCAGCAACTTTCGTTCAACTCCTTCATCCCCTTGGAATCTCCAGTATACCCTGGACTGTAAAAAAAAAAAAAAAAGTGCAACCAAATCCCATGCAAGTGATCGAAAGAGCAGCACACATACCCAGTCATGTAATTTCAGCTTTTGCTACAATGGGTTTCTTCTGGGAAGAACCCCAGTTTTTTCATCCACAATCAATTGAAAGGATAATTGATTGTACCCTGAAAATTGGTACCATCAAGGAACTGACAGAAAGGAAAGTTCATGAAGAAAACTCTCCTGGCAGGGTGGTGGAGGCCCACGCCTTTAATCCCAGCATTTGGGAGACAGAGGCAAGCGGATCTCTGTGAGTTCAAGGCCAGCCTGGTCTACCTAGTGAGTTCCAGGACAGCCAGGGCAAATCCTGTTTCAAAAAAAAAAAAAAAAAGATTCTGTCTTGCATTGGAGGTTGAGTTGCATGAGCAACTCTAATACATGCAGTCTAAAGATTGATATGGTGTACCCCATATTCCCAGAAGCACCTTCACCCAATTTGCAAGTCAAACCTTACCTTTTACCCTCTTCCAGAACCCACAGTGCCAATAACTCCAGCCAGAGACTTCACTCATTTTATTTAACATTTATTAAACATGTTACATCCCACTCATGAGGCTAGACCCTCAAGACAATAAATCATTAAGAGTCCTCTTACGAACAGACTACTAATGGAACAAATTCAGCAAGACGTTACAACATTTGAGAAAAACTCTAAAACTGTGAAACTAGGAGGGAGGAGTCACTCTAACTTATGGCTGCATGGAGAAATTGACAATTGGCCAGAGTCATGGCCAATTGAGAATGACGACCCTAGATATTGGGACAGGAAACTCAGGGAAAAAGCACTCCAGGGGAACTGAACAGTAAATGCTAATATATTGGAGCATAAGATGGACATGGGAGCCCCCACCCCCACTTGCAGAAAGATCCTTTTTACTTGAGTGGGCGTGAACGTTTGCCTCTGGGTTTCTTTAATGGCAGGCATGCAGCAGGATCAGCAGGTTGATCTGATAATGTGGGCTCATCAGGAGAACTACGCTCTGCAGAGGCACTTGACAGGCTGGGCTCATCCTGTGAGATGGACCGATGACGTTTCCTACGTGACTTAGGAGGTGCCATACATATGAATCTGTTTTTTCTCTTTCTTCTTTGTTGTGCCAGCAGAGCTGCAGCCTTTTTCTCCTTTGCCTCTTTGGCTGTAAGCTGTGGCTCAAGCTCTGGTTCCAGCTCCGGCTC